GAAGTAATTTTTTTGACACATGTCCAAAGTAGGACCGTCGAAACTATGGAGTTGCCTATTTGGCGGCTGTGACGTCACTACTAAAAAAAGTCTATTGCGTAAGGATTTAGATTTAGTTGTAATATATTTTGACATATCGGACATTGATATAGTCCAAAATGCGTATAAGTATTTTAACTAAATCTCACTAATTAGGCCGTGAGAGGCCTATTTACTCATGGACAATGTTATATGGTAGACCGTGACAGTGACAGGTAATGTTATGACAACACTGTTATTATTTGACAGTTTGTATTATCATTTAATTGAAATGCGTTACACAGAAGTAGGAAATTGAAATATTGTAGGAATTAAAATAGAGTAAGTTATTATGAGGTCGAGTTGGACCTCACTTGGCAAAACACCGCAGGTATTCCGCGTATCACCTACCGTCAGCGTTTTTTCTTCGCTGAGGGTGAAGGTGTGGTACTCCTCGCCTTTGTCTGTCAGTGTAGTGACCGTGATCCAACAGCAAAATTTTCAGTCCATTTCGATATTCTCTGTGAGTCAAAGCTATGAAAAAGAAGACGAAGAAATATTAAACGAGGTTATGTATTGATTATTATTATTTTGTCGTATAAAACCTTTTCAGATAAAAAGAAACGAAATGCACCCAGGAAACTTCAAAGAAACATTTTGCAGGCTTTGTCAAAATATTATAAAGGATACGAGTTACCAATTGGCAGGAGAAGTTCTAGAAACTGTGTTACCAACTCTGGTAATATCAAGTTATTAATGTTATTATGACTACTTTTTTGCCTATAATGTAGTTTATTCATACTTATATCTTTAATTACGAATCTGTTTCAGAATTTGGACGAAAGAGCTGAACATTTCATGTGTAAAGAATGTTCCATAAAATTACATGCCGCTTTTAATTTTAAATTGATGTGTATGGATACTGAAGATGTTATTTTTTCTCATATTAATGACAGTAAAATGTCGCTGGTTGATTTAAAAGATGTTTATGTAACGGAGAAGGGAAATCTCCAGTTGACTGATATACCTAAAAATCAAAAAATTTGTCGATTATGTATTCAGTATGTAACATTTGGATGTGCATCACTAAATGAAGTAGATATTGACATAATTAATACAAATATACCACGAATTGTAAGTATCTCGGAGTGTACAGTTCTGTGTTCCTATGCACTTTTAATTTTTTAAATATTAAGATCTTAAAAAGTAATATTTACCTATGGAACTGATTTTATAAATCATATTGCTTTGACTGGTGCTGTCAATGTGTAGATAATTGCTAGATAAGCGAGTATGCTTCTAACCAAGAAACAAACCTGTTCAAATTCCTGAAAATAATAATAGTGCTAGTAATAATCTTCAGTTATGAACTTAAATTTATATTGGCAATTATGTTGCTATGTTTTCGGAATCATAGAATCGAATTGTGTAAATGTCTTCACGTTGCTTTTACAGAAAATTTTCATGTTCCTTTTTATAAATATGTTGTAACATATAAATCACCTACTGGTTAGGGCATAATAATTTTTTATTTGTAACTCATCTGTAACTTATTTTGTAAAGCATGCTGAAAATATATCTTATTTTAAAATATTTTTGAAATAATACCTTCACAAATGTTTTTTTATAATTTACAAGCGTTTTAAAAATCAAACTAAAAAGCAATTTTTAACAATCTGACAGAATTAACACATTTTTATTGTAGAACCTCAGTGTTACCAGTAACCCTGTTATATGCGGGCCATGTTTTGATTCGCTTCGTACGCATGGCGATTTTTTAAAGAAATGCCTTGATACACATGAAAAATACAAAAGTGCTGATAAGCAGTCTTATATTAAATCTGAAAAGATTGAAATAAAAGTGGAAGGTAGTCAAGATGGGCAAGAGAAATATAAAAGTATTAATGAGGGGTTTTATATTAAGTCTGAAGAGATTGAAATAAAGATAGAGGAAGACGATAGGTAAGAATCGGTCCTGTTTTTTATTGAATTTGTCAAAACAAACATTTTTCAGTAATTCTTCACACAACCTAGAAGATGGAAGAAGTGAAAATAAAAACAGGTGCATTTCGGAAGATGTAAAAGAAATAAAGGAGGAATATAAATATGAGACAGGATTTAGCGATGACTGCACAATGTCAAAGTTAGTTCACAATGTTCAAATACCCAAAACCCAAATGTCTAGATTGCAAAAACCTGAACTTCTGTTAGATACCCGATTGTACCAATGTGATAAATGTAAATTTGAAACTGAGTTTAAAAAGACTCTGAAAGAGCATAGATTAATGCACAAACATTTTTCAGAAATCCAAGTGTACAAATGTGATAAATGTACTTATGTAACTAAATATAAATCTTCTCTAAACAGGCATCAGGTAATGCACAAATATCGTCGTGAAATCCAATTGTACAAATGTAGTACTTGTGCTTATGAAACTAAACTTAAAAATCGTTTGGAAAGGCATCAATTAACACACAAAAATTCCTCAGAAATCGAAATGTACCAGTGTGATACATGTGGTTTTCAAACTAAATATAAGTACTATCTGAAGAGCCATCAGATAACACACAAAAATTCTTCAGAATTCGAAATGTACAAGTGTGATGTCTGTAGTTTTCAAACTAGATTTAAAAAATATCTGAGGGCGCATCTGTTAATACATAAAAATTCTAGGAAAATCCGAATGCACAACCCTTCAGAAATCCAAATGTACAAGTGTGATACGTGTACTTTTGAAACTAAGTTTCAAAGCAGTCTAAGATCGCATCAAATAATACACAAAAACCCTTCGGAAATCCAAATGTTCAAGTGTGGTACATGTAATTATAAAACTAAACATAAGAATGATCTGAATGCACATCAGATAAAGCACAAGGACCCTTCAGAACTCCAAATGCACGAGTGTGATACATGTGGTTTTCAAACTAAATACAAGTACTATCTGAAGAGGCATCAGATAACACACAAAAATTCTTCAGAAATACAAATGTTTAAATGTGATATTTGTGCTTTTGAAACTAAATATAAGTCTGGTCTAAACAGGCATCAGATAACTCACAAAGATGCTTGTGAAATCCAAATGTACAAATGTGGTACTTGTATTTATGAAACTAAACATAAGAGTTATATAAAATTACATCAGTTACTGCACAAAAGTTCTTCAGAAATGCAAATGTACAAATGTGATGAATGTGGTTTTCAAACTAGACATAAGAACTATCTGGGGACGCATCAGTTAAAACATAAAAATTCTTCGGAAGTCCAAATGTACAAATGCTGCTCTTGTATTTATGAAACTAAACATAAGAAATTTCTGAAACTGCATCAGTTAAAGCACAAAGATCCTTCTGAAATCCGAATGTACAAGTGTGATACATGTAGTTATGAAGCTAAACGTAAGACTAATTTGAGAGAACATATGTTAGTGCACAAAGACAAAAAGTACCAAGTGTACAAGTGTGATCGGTGTACTTATAAAACGAAATGTAAAAATAGTTTGAAAAGGCATCAGTTAACACATAAAAATTCTTCAGAAATGCAAATGTGATACTTTTACCTAAACATCAGCATCATCTAAAATGTCATCAAGTAATACACAAAGATCATTTAGAAATCCAAATGTACAAATGTAAGGTAAGAATGAGAACCCTTCTCCAACATGATTGTGGTATATGTCACATGTCGATATATAGTATAAATTAGTAGTATTATATTGATTATAGCAATTTTCTTTTTTACCTGACCTCTTTAGAGGTTAATATTATAACGGTCTTTGCTTAGAGATTAGAGTATCTTGGAAGGTAAATCAGTGGATTAGATAAGATCAATAAAGTATCTCTTTATAAATAAACAAACTTCAATGCTAAATGTAAAATTCTTCATTCTTTACAAGGACATATATTTTTGCATGGGCGTAGTTGGGGGTGAATTGTTGCTGCATGCTGCAAGTTTCAAAAATTACATTACTATTACTGAACGCATTTTCCATTCACTTAGTGTTTAGGTTTTGAAGTGCGTTAAGTTTTTTTTTAGAGGCTTCCATAGAGCTTACAACCCTGACCCCACCCCAAGCAAACATCCTAGCTACCCCCATACGTTTTTATTTTTGTGGAGAATTTGTAACCCAATTTTATTGTTCAACTTAATTATGTTTAAATACGTTTGATGGCTGTTGTATTGATGAAAATAAAAATATGTCGCTCTGACATGCAGAAGATATGACTCATAATATACGGACATTCTCAGACTGCCGTGAGGATAGCATATAATTCAAACCGTATGTCCTCACACTGTGAGGTATCCGGAGGATTTGTATGACTACTACATACGGGAATGTCACACCAGATACTTCAAGGATGTCCTTAAGACGGGTTTGTGCTATTTGGGTAGTTACCTTTAGAGGTACCTATTCATCATGAGGAGGTGTCCTCTTGTAAAACATCGATTTGAGTTAATAAAATTATGTTAGTAAAATAATTTTTATTAAGCCTGGTATATGATATTGTAACACTATTAAAAAATATTGAAATTATAACTTAAACTTTCTTATTGGTCCATTTCCCTGACTAATTGTATAACCTTATCACTATTTTGATTTACCTGCATGGGTGCACTGAGAAAATAGTTCAATCGTGGAGTGCAAGCTAAGAATTGTCTCGACAGGGGATTTTTTAAACGTTATATTTTTAGATAATTTAATTTCTTCAAACGTTAATCTGAAGAACAAATTTATTAAAGATTAGAAAACAAATAAAAGTAAAAAAATGTACATACGGCAGTTATATCTAGCAGATATAACAATAAATAACTAACTTTAAGTTACTTTTTAGATTATATTATTAGTATTAAAAATGAAATGTAGGTATATAGTTGGCAAAACATTACTATTCAATGTAATTAGAGACGATTTGGTATCAGATTTCAATCCCTACAACTTTAAAACATAAAAAAATCGCTACAAACAGCCAAAAACGCCCCGACGCGACGGCCAACATCTCCAACGAGGCGAAATAAAGGCGACGAAGTCGTTCCAAATTGAATTCTCCAAATTCAACGAAATTCGAACCTGACGGAAACACAACAACTACTACAAACTCCAGGAAGATATCATGTTCCAGAGATTTGGAAATGGTCAGAAACGGCAGAGTCGGGAAGTGGAAATAGTGCCGAAATAAACCCGATTGTGCAAGTGAGCCACAAAGGGAGATGCACCTGCCTGTAACCGAACGTCGACCCTGCACATGGGCAGTTCATTAACCAGGATACGGATGCCTGGCCAGGCTTTCAACAAAAACTCGAATAACTAATAATACGTATTGAAAAAAGTCAAACTTGACGAACAGGAAAAAAGTTGGAATAAAAATAATTTAATAGAAAAACAAACAACTTAAACACTACTTGGACTTAACACTAACAGCATGGCAACTTATTCGCTAAATAAAAATTTCCCCGTCATTTTCAAAACTCTCAGCAAACAATTACTAAAATTAAATTGCTTTTTCCTGATCGTCAAGGTTGTTTAAATTCATAGCCAAGTTTTGAATTTTCGATGATTTTAAATAACATAGCTACAATACGTAGTATTATTAGTTGTTGAAAACGACAAAAGTTTTTTGAAAACTAGCAAGAGTAAGAAAAGTTTTAGAATTAAATTCCCCATAAAATAAAGTAGGTAATAATTTTTAAAGTCCGCCAAAGAGTTAAAAAATTTTGTCACATTTTAATGGTGCATCATCCCTTATCAACCCATTAAAATGCTTCAATTGAACTCTACTTGCTGTCGATTAATGCTCTTGGTACACTCACAGTGTACCAAATATGGTTTTTCTAGGTTTAAATGTAACTGAGATATTGATTTTTTTCGAAATTTGATACTCCACTTTCAAGGCCTATAACTTCTCATGGGTGCAGATTAGTATAAAGGTAAGGTGCGTTAAATCACCATATTTTACGTTCTCCTACATATCCCTGCATTATTTCGGTTCTTATGCGAAACACCCTGTATATTAACAACATAATCATTAACAGCATTTAAAATATTTTTGAGAAATATTAAATCTAAATCTCGTACGATGTGACTTAAAAAATATATTGTATGTGCAAGGCAAGCCCGTATTTCAAGATCATTAAAAAATTTAAAAAAAAACTAGACAGGTCCAGACTCATGTCTAGTTTTTTTTTTATTGAAATGATTAAACAATCACTTTCATTTGGATTCCTGAGATGCAGAATATTTCATTTACTCAATTTTTTATTAGTTTTTCTTAGAATGGTCCTCTAATGATAGAAATTAATTTTAAATTTTGATGATTGACTACTGACTTGACTAGAAAATCTTATAGTCTTCAAAAATAAATATTTTCATCCTTTTTACACTTTCTGGTCAAGAACAGTATTTTATTTGAAATCAACTTCGCGCGACTTAGGGCAAATAGCTTCACTTTTTCAGTTCGTGTTCAAACCACAGAATATCCTAACTACAGGATATTCTGTGGTTCAAATATCTACTGTGCATAGAAACTCGGCTTTGACGTCATCTATCGCCGCCACGCCATTATTCCATGGCTAGAAATTGGCCTCGATGATTTGGGATCGAGGGGGATTATCCCTCTTTATCCTGCCTCATCTCGTGTAGGCCTGGACAGCCTTCGTAGGTGGGCCCCATCCGTCGTCTACCCCGACCCTTTCTTCTGGCGCTCTTCTTGCTTCGCTGGCTCGTCTGTGTCATGTTTATGTGTGGTATGGTTGGGTAGGGTAGTGCGGCTATGCAGCCTGGGATGCGCTTTGCTAAGGTGGTCCTTTGGCTAGCGCGGGAGGGGAGGGGTAAGGAGGGTATGGGGGTGTGTATGTGTGTGTGTCGTTGTCTTCGTTTCTTGATCCTGGCTGTCTCTG